GCAGGGAGAGGCAGGGGCAGGATGCTGGGCTCAGCCCCCCGGGACCGGCAGGGAGAGGCAGGGGCAGGATGCTGGGCTCAGCCCCCCGGGACCCGCAGGGAGAGTCAGGGGCAGGATGCTGGGCTCAGCCCCCCGGGACCGGCAGGGAGAGTCAGGGGCAGGATGCTGGGCTCAGCCCCCCGGGACCCGCAGGGAGAGGCAGGGCAGGATGCTGGGCTCGGAGTTGGGCTCGGGGCCTCGGGCCTGGATGTGGAGGGCTGCGGGCGGCCGTACTTGCTGCGGGCGGGCAGGCTGCCCGTGGGCCGGTGGGGAGGCCCCGGCCGGCGGCGGTAGGAGCGGTAGTGCTGCTGGATGAGTACAGCCGCCCGGCGGCTCTGCTGAAACCGCTTCTGTTCATAGTAGCTTCGGAACTTGCTCTGGATCAGGATGGCCGCCTGGGTCATCTTCTTATAGAGTGCAAACTACAGACATGGGGGGAGGGGACGGGGGCTGAACTGCAGGGACAGAGACCCGGACCCCTGCGGGTCACCCCCAGGTTCAGCTGGTGCAAGTCTCTAATCCACACGCTCACGGGAAGGCCGAATCATCACGGACAACCTCCCACCCAGACCTCGTGCCTGATACCTTAAGCGCAATCCAGGTCAGCTTGTGGAGAGAGAAGGGGAGTTAGAGGGCTTCAGCAGCGCTCTGGAGTGAGGATGCGCATGCGCGCGCGGGTGCAGGTGCAGGTGCGTGGGGGGCACGTGTGTGCGGGTGCGCGCGCACGTGCGCCGTCCAGAGCCCAGGCTCTCACCTGCTTGTACTTCCGGTAGCAGCGCTGGATCACGGCCGCAGCCACCTCCTCCTGCTCCTTCAGCCTCCGGCCCTGGGGCAAGACACGGAAGTCAGCCCCCAGGGGCCCACCTGGCCGACTCCTGACCTGCCCCTCGGCTGGCCGCGAGCCCACGATCTCCGCAGCCCTCCGACCTTGTACTTTCGGAAGGCTGTCTGGATGACGCGAGCCGCCTCGTACAGTTCCCGCTGCTCGTGATCCGACAGCGTCAGCAGGGCGAAATCACTCTCCATCTTGCCGCTGGCGGAGGCGGACAGAAACTCTGCCCAGGAGGGTGCTGGAGGGACGGCCAGGCGCCCACGCTCAAAGGGCAGTTCGCTGGAGGGGAACAGGGAGAAGGGAGGTCACGGGGCGTGTGAGGTCCCTCCTCTTCTGCCCAGGGACCGCGGTGAAGGGAGAGCTCCCCAGCCAGTTCATCCTTCCCTCAAAGGCCCTGGGGCCCGAGCCGCAGTGGACTCTGGCTGTGGGAGAGGCTCCTTCCCCGCTCCCATGTGCCGTGGACGCGTCTGGATGCTCTGTCCTGAGCTGGTCACCTGGGAGGGGCTGAGCTGGGGAAATGGTCCACATTCTCCAGGTAGCTGGCCAGCCACGACATGGTCTCACTGAGCCCCAGGGCCCCTGTGCGCTCCCTCATGGGCGCTCCGGCCTCGGGCAGCCCCGAGAAGTCCTCTCGTTTAATCCGCTCCGGCGTGGCTTCGATGATCTGCTTGGCCAGTGAGATCATGTCCACCTGCATGAAGGAGAAGCTGCCGAGTCCCCAGCCGCCCTGACTGCCAGGTGCTCCCGTCCCGCCACAGTGTAGCCACCGTTCACGTCCTGTCCCATCACTCCCCTCACCACCAGACCCTGAGGCCTCGCAAACGGCTGTCCCTGCTTCCCACGCTCCGATTCTTGCATTTACACCCCCTGGGCTCCCACATGGGTGTACAGCCCTCTGTGTGGAGACGTGGAAAACGAGACGGGAAGGACCTGCTCCAGATGGGGATTCAGGAACTGAGCGAATGGAGCACTTGCCCTTCGGGAGGCTGGGCCCGCAACCCCAGCATCCTCAAGCCCCCTCCACGCCCCCCTGTGCACTCCGGGCCAGCCACACGCAGCGCGGTACTCTGTGTCTGGACTTCTATGCTGCGCAGTGAGTCCGGTGGCCTCTCTGAGGCAGGCAGGTCCCGGGTTTGGGCAGAGCAGTGCCCTGCTGCTCTCCCAGACTCCTCGCTGTTAACCCCGTGCCGGCCTCCCGGCTCCTCACTCCATCATACCGCCCCGCTTCCCCGAGAATCCTGTGTCCTCATGGATCAGTGGGGAACCCCTACAACCCAGCTCCAGCTGAGGCCGCTCCCCAGGATGTTCAACCTCTGATGCCTCATGATTTCTGAGTCCCAATCTCTGTCAGGAGCTAAGCAAAGGGTTCCCATGCCCGTCCCCAAAACAAAGGTAACCGGCCCCTTCTTCCCAAACTGAAGCCAGACCCTACTTCTGCTCTGTGGGACGCTCAGTGTCTGCGCCGTGCGCCCCCGACCCCGCCCCTCACAGCTCTGCGGCGGGCTGTGTACCGGGATCACGTCCACAGCCGGCGGGCCATCCGTGTCCTCTGGGGCAGCCCCACCGTCCGGGGCTGGTGGGAGAGGAGGCGGTGAGGGGGCTGGCCCCTGGGGGTTGGTGGCTTCACAGTCCATGAGGAATAGGGGGGCCTCGGGGGCACCCGAGGAGACCTGGCCAGGGACAATGTCCTGCATGGCAATCTCGGAGGCTGGCCGAGGCGCAGGCGGAGGACTGCCGTCTGGGGCACTGGAGTAGGCCGACGTGACGGAGAAGGTGCCGTCCGACAGCTCCGAGGGCGAGGAGACGCTGCTCAGCCCTGCGAGGGGAGGGGAGCCAGGGTAGCGGGAGCCCTGGCCGTCGTCCTCCCACCCACGGCCTCCTCAGGAAGACTGGGGACGGCCCTCACCAGTGTCGGGGCTGGAGGAGGGGGGCGACAGGGCGAGCGGGGGCTCGGCTGAAGCTTCCTGTCTCTGCAGCTCCTGCAGGCAGCGGGCGAGGCGCACGTGACCCCGGGAGTGCGCCACGGACAGGGGCAGCCGGCCCAGAGAGTCGGGGATGCTCAGCGCCTGCCTGTTCCAGCGGAAGAGGAGCACCGCGGCCTCCAGGTGGCCCAGGGCGCAGGCCCACATCTGCGGGCGGGGGGGGGGGAGGCCTGGGGGCGCCCTGCGCCACCCCCCCAAAGCCCCCCCCCCGGCAGCACGCCTGGCCCCCCGCCACCCTGCGTGCGCTCACCAGAGGGGTGCAAGAGAAGTGGTCCACGTTGAGCGGGTCAGCCTCCTGCTCTAGGTCCAAGCTCCCAGTCCCCACGCTCCTGGAGGATTTGGGGCAGGGACACCAGAGTCTGGTCAGGGTAAGGGCAGGCGCCGCGGGAGCATCAGAATTGAAAGAGCTGGGAAGCAATTAGTCTAGAAGCACTAAGGTCAGGGGGCGAGGCCCTCGAAGAGACGCAGAGCCTGAGGAGCTCCAAAAGTCAGCGTCCCAAGTCGGGGGGCGTTAAAATTCGCCGAGTGTGAGTCCTCTCCCAGCCCCTCTTCCCACAGTGAGCACAGCTCCCTCCTCAGTCCCCTGGCACTGGTGCCCCCTCCCCGCAGCCCTGCTCACCGCCACTGGCTCAAGGTCTCGATGAGGCGCGCGTAGCCCTGGGCAGCGGCCAGGTGCAGGAGGCTCATGCCCCGGAAGGGGCTTCCGTGCACCAGACGTTCGGGACCCCTCCAGGTGGAGCGTGGGATCATGCTCTCTACCAAGACCACCACACGTGCCTCAAAGCCGGGCCCCTGGCCTTCGTCCTGTGGAACAGACCCCCTTATGCAGGGACCTGAGAGCCTGGCCCCCTGCCTTGGGATGGCCTTGGCCACCTCCACCTGTCCTCTCCCCACACCTCCCTTCCAGGTTCCTACCGCCCCCAGACCTCCGTGGGCCTTCAGCTCTCCCAGCTCGGGCTCCTGGGCGTCCCCCACTCCCACGGCTGGCTTCCTCCAGCCACTCTGGCAGCCGGACCCCACACGGCCTTGCCCGTGTGCGCCCGCACGCCGGCTCTGGTCAGCGCCATGCCCACAGATGACCCTGCGTCCTCTCCCTGTCCCTGTCCTCAGAGCCCCGGGGCCCATGAGTGCCGGCCCCCAGGCTCCCCATCCCCTCCCCCACCCCCGCCTTCACCCCCACCCGCTTCAGATCAGAAATAGTCTGAAGCCTGTCATGCCAAGAGGGTGCCCAGAATAGCCACTCCTGCCACAGGGTGACGTCAGGGAGGAGGAGGCTGGGGACACGAGGGACAGGAGAGTCTCAGCACAGCCGTTTTCTCTGGGAGGACCCTCCTCGGCTCCCCACCCAGACCTCCCCCCTCGCGGAGCTACCTGGATTGGAGGTGCGTCAGGACCGCGGCAGGAAGCCTGCCCGGCTGCTGCCATGTCTGCCATTCGCTTCTCCATCTGCTCTAGCCGCTCCAGAATGGACATTCGGAACTGGTTGTCTGAGGGGAAAGAGGTACGGGAGGCTGAGCGGCGGGCGGGGTCTGGGAGATGCCCCCAACACCACAACTCGCCCTGTGCCACCACCTGGGAGGGGAGGCCCCCTTTGACCCCTCACCCTACATGCAGCCCACCCAGGACGCAGTCCTTAAACTAGAGCTTTTAACACCTCCCGCTGACCTGGGACCAGAATCCGGAACTAAAACCATGTCCTTCAGGACACAGATGTGGTAGGGATTCCAGCGTGCGGCCCCATGCTGCCCCAGATCGCTCACGCTCACACCCGCTCACGCTCACGCTCACACACCCCTGGCCCTCTAGGTGAGCCCTCCGTCACCTCTCCTTGCCCCAGACACTACCTCTATCCCCCATGCTGGGGCTGAAGGACTCCAGGGCCCCTCCTCTCTCTTATCCACTGCCCAAGAGAGCTCGGGGGCTGTGATTTAAGAAGCACCACCCCCTCCACCCAGCCCCCCGCAGCTGTCCACAAAGAGGATGGCGGGGCTGGAAGGTGACAGAGAGGGAACACCATGTCCATTCCTCCTCTTCTTCCCCCCACCCCGTGCACAAGAACGCACATGCACACGCACACACACGCCAAGCTCTATCTGTGCCCTCCTGAGATCACACGAGAACAAGGAGGGGAGGCGGCAGGGGATCGGAGCCACGGGAGAACAGGCACGAAGCAGGGTGGAGGTTGTGGATGTCCTGCTTGAGATGCCAGGGCGTAAGGGGCTCAGGGCCTAGAGGGGACGGTGGGGAGGAGGGCAGACACCGAGCAGAAGGGTCAACAAGGTGAAGGAGAGGAGGGACAGGACCGCGGGGAGATGAGCCAAACAAGCAACACAGAAGGGAAGGAGGCACAGTGGAACCAGGAAGCAGGGGGAGGGAGGAGCCCCCGCGTCCAGACAGCAGGGCTTTGGGAGGGGCCCCCCAGGGATGAAACAGCAGGGGCATGATGGAGGGAGCGAGGGAGGCGAGCTCAGCAGGGACGGCAGCACAAGGGAGAGAAACCCAGAGGAGGAGACCCCGAGCTGGACGCAGGGGCCGTGGGGACACCGCACTGGGAGGCACGGGAAGGAGAACCAGCGAAGGAACGCACAGTTCTCAATTTAAGTACACATACGTGTGCACGCGCGCCTGTTTGTATAGAAAAGTGTGTTGAAGCGTATTAAAGGTGAATGTCACTGAGGACCGACACGGTCAATTTTCTACTTTATGCTTCTCTGTTATTCCCAAATTTCTTAGAGCAAACACCTGTCCTCAAAAGTAGAGGGAAAAGCAGCAAGGAAATTGCAATACGCCCATCAGTACACACGTGTGCTTGTGCGCACCCACGTACAGCCCACGTACACCCCATGTACACTGCTCCCGCCTCCTGGCCCCGCCTGCCTACAGTCCATCTTTGGGACGGGACAGGCCAAGGGCTGGGCCAGAGACGGCTCCAAGATTTCTGGGGGAGAGGATGGGAGGGACAGTCGCTGCCGCCTTTAGAACTGACCCATGAAGCAGCAGCTGGGGAAAGGGTGGTAAATTGGGGGCAGGGCGGTGGCCGCCTGAGTCCTGGGGGGTCTAGGAGCGCGTCCCACTCCAATGCTGGGCCCAACACGGGGTACTCACCGTCCAGTGACAACCAGTCGAGCTGAGTACTAGGCAGTGACAGGAACCGGCGGGCTCGATACTCAAAGAGCACAGAGGCAGAAAGGGGCCCCTCCCGCCCCGCCACCTGCAAAGACACCAGCCCCACCTCATGGGCTGGGGGGGGCAGGGTCAGCGACAGGGGCTCTCTCCCTGGCTCCTCCTCTGGCCCCGCGTGAGGGCCACACACGATGTTTCAAAGCTGGCGCGATTCCGATCGTTCAAGGACCTAATACCTACTGGGGGCTGGGCCTGAGACACCTGGGGTTGTAGACCCTGCGGTGAAGTCGGCACCAGACCTGGGAGCGGAGGGTCCACAAACACCTCTGCTTAGGAAGCAGCCTGATCCCCCAAGGTCTGGGCACAGAGGGCATGAGCCGGTCACCGAGGTCGGGGAAGGAGAAGCAGCTGCTCACCGCAGGGTCCAGTGAGAGCTGTGTCCCGGGCTCTCCGTGTCTCTGGCCTTGAGAACGAATCCACCAGGCCCCGGTCCCCAGACTACAGGCTGAGACGAATCCCAGCACCCAGCCTCCCTGGTCTGCCCTTGCCGCTCACGCACCCCCGGACCAGGCTGCTGTGATGGGGCGTGCTCACAGCCAATCAATCTGTCGCCCCGTCACTCTGGTGGTCCCCGCGGTCCCAGAGCAGCTGACTGCTGGGTGCAGGTAAGGAGCAAGGTCGGAGGCAGAGGGCAGAGGGGAGCCTCGGCACCGAGCTCTAGGCTGTGCTGTCTGACGGAGCTTCCTCAGTGCCGGACGCGTCCTGGATCGGCACCGTCCAGCAGGGTGGCTACTGAACCCTCAGCGTGTGCTTGCTGGGAGGGAGGTGCCGAGTCCTACGTTTTAGTTCGTTCTAATGAACTTCCACGGGCCCACGTGGCTAACGGCTACCTTACCAGACAGCCCAAGTCTAGGAGGCAATGTCCTTTAGTCCAAGACTGGCCGAGAGAGACCAACGTGTCTCTCTTCTCATGCTCCTGAGAGCTCCCTGGACTGGAACCAGAGACTGGCTGCAACCAAGCCAGAGGGCCTGGATGGACAGCGGAGGCCCGCTGGGTCAAATGCCTGACCTCCCAGGACGGGGGACCGCAGACCCGGAAGGCCGCCAGTCAGCTAAGGACTAGATCGCTTACGCCAGAGCCTAGACCTTCTGAGACATGCACCCAGACTCATGTGCCTGTTGGGGGAGCACGGAGCTCACCATCCCACGAGCCGGCCCCTCCCCCGAGCACGCCCCACCCCCATACCAGGACAGTAGCAGCGTAAGACCCCAGGCTGGACAAGCGAGGCTGGCACGGCGATGTGATCGAAGACACAGGAGTAATGCTCGGCGGCCTCTGTCCAGGGACCTGTGATGAGCACCTTGACCCCACCCTGCAGAGACGAAGCCCAGAGTCATGCCACTGGAACTCGGTTGGGTGTTCATTCGCTCATTCACTCATCATGAATTCAGACCCTGAGGGAGCACGTGCGGTACGGCAGGCCCTGGGCTAGGTTCTGGGGTACAGGGATGGGGCAGGTCCCAGCGGGGTGAGGTCAGCTAGCCTGGCCCTCCTCCCAACACTCCTGCCAGCAACAGGGAACTCACTGCTTCCCCCAAGGCTGCCAACTGATTGGCAGACAGCGGTCATGGGCCGAAGCCCTTGCCTTGGGCTCCCACTGTCCTCCCACTGAGGTTCCTCCTCTCGTTCTCTGGGGCAGCAGAGAGCAGAACTTCATTGCAGGGGACAGACCCTCGGCTTCCCCAAGTCCGCGACGAGGGCACCTGGGGGACTCACACGGCCACACCCAGCATGCGGGGGGTGGGGGAGGGAGGGAGAGAGGCTACCTGCAGAGACGAGGGAAGCAGCTATGCTCTGCTCTGCGTACAGAGAGGGACGGGACGAAAGCGAAGCTGCCATGCAGTCAGGGGAGAGCAGGGGGCAGCACTGGCTGAGTGGGATGGAGGAGGGTCTGGGGCCCGAGGCTCACCTCCGGGTAGGACCACTCTGGGGAGAAGTCTGTGATGGTGCTAAGAGCAGGAGAGAGCTGGGCGGCTGGGGCAGGGGCGCCTGGAGCCTCATCGCTGATGAGCTCTCCCATGAGGTCTGGGAATGATGCAAGACTGAAGGGCTCCAGTTCGCTGGCCCCAGCAGCTCCTCCAAACAAGGCCTCCCCTCTGCCTCCCCTGCCTGCCGGCTCCAGGGGGGCAGGTGAGGGTGGGGGCGAAGGAGGGGGTGAAGGTGCAGGGGGAGTGGCCCCCTGGGCCTTGAGCTCCTCCCCACTGCCATCGTCTTGGATGAAGAAGCGATTTCCTCTTCTCCCACCTGCTCCTGGCGGAGGAGGGGGACCCCGAGCAGCCTGGGGCTCTAGGGCAGCAGCGGGCTCCAGGGCAGGGCAGGGGGTGTGGGCGGCCTCTGCCTCGGGGAAGTCTGGGCTTACCCCCTGCCCCCCTCCGTACGTCTGGCCCCTCTGGGGGCTGTTGAGAAAACGATCCGGGTCAAAGGCAGGGCTGGGAGGAGCTGGTGGGGCAGAGGCCTCAGAGCCTACGACCACAGCCAAGCTCATGGAAGGCCTAGGATCAGCCTGGGGAGCCAAGTGCCTGGTGGGCGTCAAGCCCCCGGTCCGCTGCTCCAGTCCCGTCAGGAGGAGGATTGCGGTGCCTCCTCTGGATGAGCCCCCTCGGGAGGTGGGAGGGCTAGGTCTGATCTCTAGGGGTTCTGCAAAGCCGGAGGAAGAGGAGGACGAGGAGGAAGACGAGGAAGGGGAAGTGTGTGCCTTGGGGAGCTCCGGGGGAAGAGGGGCTATCAGCGGAGGGGGCTCCGGGGGGTGGGGGTGGGGGACAGAGGTCAGCGTTAAAGCTCGGGGCTCCACTTTGGGAGAGATGATGCGGTGTTTCGTGCTGCCGCACTTGTGGGTGAGGCTCCCGGAACCTGCGGTGGGAAGGCGGGAGGATCGCGGTTCTCCACCGTCCCTTCCCCGCAGCGTCACCAGCTTCCCGCACCCGGCCCCGGACGATAGCCGTACTATCGGCTGCGGCCACTGGGAGGCAGGCGTGCACCCCCAAATTAAACAGGACCGGAGGGGCTCTGCGGGGACAGCAGCTGAGACAAGCAGGTAAAGGCAAAGAGAAGGGATGTGAGAACACAACCGAGAGGGTACCAACTAGCCGTAAAGCTGGGGCTGGGTGTGAACGGTCACCCTGGGGTGGCCCAGAGCCGCTAAGGGCAGCAGACAGATGGAGAGCCTGGGCCGGGCCAGCGTGCCCCGGCGGGAAGGCGGGAAGGCGGGAAGGCCTCTTCATCCGGCCCTCTTTCTGGGATATGCAAAAGACGTGCAAATCAGCATGCAAACGCTAGCAGGACAGAGAGGCCCGAGGAAGCGAGGAAGCGTGGGGCGCTGGCGGGAAGACAGCTCCGGGGTCAGGGGTCACGCACCAAGGCCCCCGCTGCACAGACAGGCGTGGGTTCGCGGTGCGGGCTTGGCCGGGTGGCTGTCCAGGATCTGCTGCACCAGCTGCTCCACAGAGAACTCCTCTGTCCCGCTCCCACAGCTCCACTTGATGCCATGAACTGGAAGAGCGTTGGGGTGGGGGGATGCTGGGGATCCCACAGGACAGGCCCCGAGACTCCCGGCCAGCAGCCGCAAAGCTCACAAACCTCCTTCGGCCCCTTCTCCGCAATGGCAAGAGCTCAGAACACGCCAGAATCCTCGCGCCCCCTCAGGGGAGCACCCCCTGGCTCGCAGGGAGCCGCTCACCCCACGCTGGGGGTACAGACCCCCCCCCGCCCCCCCGGGAGGCGCCTGTCTCCTCGCCCCCTGGGAGCGCCTTACACATGGGCTTCAGCTGCCCCAGCAGCTCCTCCCGGGACCACTTGAGCCACTCGCGACGGTCGCTGCTGACGGAACAAAAGATGGGGCTGCAGCCCTTCCCACAATCCTCCAGGGCTGGGACGTTCAGGTAGTGCACAAGAACGATGTCAGGGTTCTGAGAGCACAAGGGCACACACAGAGCGCCGTGGGGGCCCGCTCTCCTCCCAGGCCTGGCGCCTCCGTCCCCCACCCCCCTCCCCTCTTCCCAGGCTCCTCCTCCCACTCGGAACCCAGTGGGTCATCTCAGACCCCACCTCCCTTACCTGCAGCAGCCAGTAACAGCGCCGATGGAATGTGGGGACGATGGAAGAGTGAACGTAGCAGCCATACAAACACTGCCAGGAGACAGGCTGGGGTGGGGGGAGGGCTAGTCTGCTCCCCAACTCTTCCTCTGTTCAGCCCCTTTGCAGGAATCCCAGTCTTTCCACCAGTTCCTTGTCAGCCCTCGCCCACCCCCACCTACTCCCCATCCCGGCACCCTGCACCACGGGGACACTGGGGCCGGGGCCTCACAAGGCGGAGCAGACGGGACATACGGGAGGGACTGTCTAGAGATCAGAGGTCAGGGCGAGGGCACATCCGAGAGGAGGAGCAGTGATTCGAGGGAGGGAAACCCGTGCTCAGAGGTTCAGGACTTGGACCCCTGAGGGGAATGGGCCTGGGCGGCCTCGGGGGGCGCCTGAGTCCTAGAGAGCTGGGTCACGGAGGGACGTGGGAGGCGACGCGTGGGCTGAGCCACGGCAGTGAGAAGGGGAGTGGCCGGGAGGGTGGGAGGAGGTGGGCCAGAGCCCCGCTGAGGACGGAGGAGGGCGGCCAGGGCTGACGGCCGGGGCTGACGGCTGGACACCTGCCTCACCTCCATGCCCTGGACCTTCAGCTTCATGTGGTCCTCTCGCGTGGTCTTCCCATCCTTCCGCTTCTTCCACAGGTACCCGTCCTTCCGGTACTTCACCTTCTTGCGGTTGTAGAGGATGATGGAGCCGTTCTGAGGCCTGACGAGGGGAGGGCTGGCCTTGAGTTCTGCGGCGGGAATCCAGGAGCCCCGCCGCTGCCCGCCTTCATGAACCCGCTCACCTTGTCTTTGGGGCACAGGACAGCCACTCGTCATGCTTCTCAAAGGTGATCAAGTAGGATGCGATCTCCTGTAGGACAAGGGGCACTCAGCTGGGGGTCCCGCGTAGACTCTGGGGCTGGCCTCCTGCTCCGCTGAGCTCTGGCGGCTACTGGAGGCTCCCAGCAAGGACCGCTGCCCTCCTGGGTCCCAGGCTCCATCTCAGACCCGGGTCTAATCTCTCCTTCCCTCTTCCTCAGCCAGGGCCAAGTCCAAACTCTCCATCCTCCATGCTTCGTGCCGCCTCTGATTTTACTTTCCAAATCCCATTTGTGCCACTTCCTGACTCAGAAAACCTGAATGGCTTGACACTGCCAGGATTTCTGAATTCCTCAACCTGACTCCGAGCTTCTCTCAGACCAGGGATAAAACCGCTCCCACCATTTACCTATATTCCACCTACCATCCCTGCCAGACCAGCCACGGATTCTCCTCTGAACGTGCCCTGAGCCCTGAGCTCCTGAATGTTAGTGTCCCCCCTCAGGCCTGAATGCCATGCACCCATTTCTCTCAGCCTGGACACCCTAGTCATCCCACAGATCACATCCCTTCCCAGATCTCCACCAAGCCCCGCTCCCTGCCCTGGCCCTTCCTGCATTTACAGCAATCACACACGCATATATTCTCTCGCTGACGATTCTCATCTAATGAAATAATCAAGCGCTGAGTATATACAAACCATTGTGTGTGCGTGTGGGGAGGAGGGAGGACACGGAAGGTGTGTAACACGAGGACCATGCCTCCAGAAGGAGCCAGCGTCAGCGGTGGTTAAAAGCAAAAGCTCCAGAGTTAAATAAACTACACAAGGTAGACCCATTTCCTCCCCTATAGCATGGGGAGAACAACTGTGTCTGCTCCACAGGGCTGGTAAAGGACTGAAGAAGGTAACTGAGCTCAGGTGCTGAGCACATCGCTCGGTTTGTAAGAAGTATTTTGTTGCTGCTTGCTGTTACTTTTACCCGGGTGGATGTACCCAGGAGTGAGCGCCTATAAGATGCAGGTCTCTACACCTCCTCTGGGGCCCCCAAAGAGCTTAGAGCAGTGCTCTGCACTTAGGAGGACCCCCATCCACCATCCTCCAATCCACCTTGCCAGGCCCTACCCAAGGCTCCCCCAGAAAACCTCATTTGTATTCCACCGAAGTCGCTCTGGCGGCAGCAGTGGACAGCGAGGAAGACACTCCAGCAGCTTCTTGGGGAGAAAGATCTTCAGGTGGTGGCTGTTCTCTAGAGGGAATCAGAAGGGAGGGTTCAGTGTGCTGCCTCTGACCTGTCCGGCAGCCCAGGGCAAAGGGACTGAATCCAAAGCACTGGTGGGGGGACTGAACCATGACAAGGGGAGCAGGGACGCAAGAACTCGAGGGTCACCACAGCCGGGAGAAAGAAAGGCTGGGAACCTGGGCTGTGAACTCACCGGCAACCTCGGTGGTGTCCTTGGAATTCATGGTGAGGGCTCCAGGGGGCAAGGTCACCCCCGGCCTGAGGGGCCGGGGGGAGGGGGAGTCTGTGCTGGGAAGGGAGAGAACAAGGTCATGGCAGAAACCCCCCACATTGACCCAGGATGAGGAGGAGGAGCTGGGAGAGGGGTGTGGAACTGTGTCGTGGTAGCCGGGAAAGATGAGGAGGCAGGGGGAAGGGGCCAGACTGAGATGTGAGTAGAGCTGGGCATGGAGGAGAGGGAGAATCCAGACCCGGTGCCAGGAACCAGCACGGGTGGGGAGACACCACCGACAGAGTCATCAGGAAGAGACCAGTGGGTGGGGGAGGGGGAGGCTGGCCCGGCTGGCGTTTCCCAGGCCCTACGGCAGGGGCTGTCGTGGAAGCTGGGGCTACGCAGGGGTCAGGGCCTGGGGGCTGGCACTTCGGGGACCTGGTCCTTGAGGACGGTTTGGCAAATGGGAGCCTAGATGCTGGGGGGAGAGCTGGGCCTTACAAGACACACCCTGGGTTCCTTCTCGATTTGATACTTGCAAGGGAAAGGGCAGATCTGACGACTGATCGTAACCTCCTCCCTCCTCTCCAGGTCCGTCAGGGCCCGGTCGGATCTGGGCCGGGTATCCAGGCCTCGGCTTCCCACCCCCAGGACGACCCATCCTCCACGCTGAGGCTCCCGGCCCTCCCCACCCCTCCTCCACCAGCGCTCTCCCCAAACGCCTCCGCTTCCCCTGGCCTCCAGGCCCACCGTACCCCATCTACCACTCTGGCTCCAGCCTGAGCCCCCACCCTCCCGAGGGAACAGATGGAAGCTGGAGGATGCTCCCAGCGCGGGCTCCGGGCGGCGGGCTCCGCCAGGTGTCCGGGGTGGAGAGGGGAGGAGGCCCGTCCGCGCTAGCTGTGTGCAGGGCAGCTGGTCGGGGTAAGGACTCCGCCCCAGGGCGCAGGTGCGCAGTCCCGGCCCGGCAGCCTGCCAGGGTGCCGAGCGGCCCGGGGCGGGGGTCGCCGGAGAAGCCCCGACGTGGGAGCG